AGATCTGCCTGCTAGCTGCGGCTCTTGAGTTAAGAGCATCTGTGCACTCACCTCCCTCATTAACTCTGTTCACCCGAGATGGACCCCAGTGGTAGACCAGGGCACACTCCACATGCTGCAGTGATCTTCACCATCTTTAGTTTTGAATGTGGGAAGGTAGGATTCTCCCCCACATTTTTTTTTACCAAGTGTGTCTTACTTGTGTCCTTTGTACATAGAGGACCACCAATGCACAAAGGCTTTTGGAGCCCAGGGCCCTAGGTAAAGTGAGGCAGAGACGTGAGGTTGGTAGTAGGAGTTCTGGGGCAGGATGCTGGTCTGAACCTGGTTCTCCAGTCATGCATTTGAATTCAGTGGCCATGCAGGAGCCAGCCTTTGCATGCCCTGAGACTGGTGCTAGAGGTGCCAGCTGAGGACGCTGTGCAGCATGTAGACCTCCACAGACACGCACCTCCTGCTGAAACTACCCTGAGTGCCAGCACCTGCCATGGCCAACACCTGCCATGGCCAACACCTGCCATGGTCACCACCTGCCATGGTCACCACCTGCTATGGTCAACACCTGCCATGGTCACCACCTGCCATGGTCACCACCTGCTATGGTCAACACCTGCCATGGTCACCACCTGCCATAGTCAACACCTGCCATATTTAACACCTGCTGTAGTCAACACCTGCCATGGTCAACACCTGCCATGATCAACACCTGCCATAGCCAACACCTGCCATAGTCAACACCTGCCGTAGTCAACAGGAAGACTTGCAGCTGCATACACTTGTCCCATACTCTTAGCACAGAGAGACACATGGAAGAGCAAGGACCGGAAGAATGGGAGCGACACCGCTCTGCCCTCACCCCCATCCTCGTCCCAGCATCTGGAGGACCACTGCCCTGAGGAAGCTGTACCCCTCAGAGCTGCACCCCTCCCTATACACAGTCAGGGACTCTCAAGTCAAGACTAGAGGAGGGAAGGTGAGGCTTCAGCTGGACTAGAGTTAAATCTGCCACACAAGCACATGTATCCTTGAAGGAAGGAAAAGGAGATTTGATCCAATAGGATTGAAAAGCATTACACAAAACCTGTCTCATGCTCCCACCCCAGGGCTGAGCACTGCTCAGGTAGGTGGATAGGATTATGAGTTGCAGAGCTGGGGAAGGGGTGGGGCTTGATGGAGTCAGATGCAGTGCGAGCACACGCATGTTCTTCAGTACACGACCAGACTCAGGTGTACTCGCTGGAAGCACAGCCACGCTCAGGTCCCTAGGGTTTCCTGTGGCTGCTGGCTAAGGTCTGGCTCCCACCACTGCCTGCCAGTCCTGCTTGTTCCAATTCTGTGGCCTGGGCAGAGGGAGGGGCTCTAACCCGAGGCATGTTTTATCCATCACATCTTGGTTGTTACGATACGGTTTATTTTTCTTCATAAGAAGAAACAAACATGTGTCTCCAAATGCTGGCAGCTCAGAACATTCCATGTGTTTGTGGAGAGACAGACCGGATGGCACAAGTTCAGTCGAAGGATGCAGTGTAGGCTTCCATGTCTGAGCGAGACATCAAAGCAGCTTGCATTTCAGTTTCCAGGAAGCCTGCGGCAGTACGTGTGGTTAATTCCTCAGTTCCTAGAGAGTGGCCTTGTGGGTATGTCCCCTGTCAGCTCTGCTTCCCCAAGAGAGGGAAACACACATTGTGTCATGTGTGTGTGTCCTTCCTCGTCACCCCCCCCACACACACACACGCTCACCTGGCAACAGCTGCCTTCATTGATTTGTGCTGAGAGAAAGATTGTGTCTTTTCAGGTACCACATGGAAATGGCCTTTTAAGGTTTCTACGTATTAAAGCAATAAACAGTCACAAAATATTCTTGGGGACTGTGGCAATGGCTCGGTTAGCAAGCTACCTGCCACATGAGCATGAGGATCTGAGTTTGATCCCCAGCACCCACATAGAAATGTTATGTGGTGATGTTATAACCCCAGTGCTGGGGAGGCAGCAGTGGGTGGTTTCCCTGGGGTTCAAGTTCTAGCCAGCCTAAACCAATTGCTGAGTTCCAGGTTCAAAGAGACCAAAAGAGATAAAAAAAACAAACAAGGAGGATGGCCCTGGGGAGGGGCGACACCCGAGGGTGTCTTTTGATACCACATGTACACACATATGTACATACATGCCCCCACAAAATTTTCTAAAGTGCTGGCAGAGGTCCTGAGTGTGACCCTGAAGGACCCATGAGGGGAAAGCTGGACTCAGCGGCAGGGCACACACTGTTAACCCCAGTTTTGGGAAGGCAGAGAGAGACAGGAAGGTCTCGCGTTTACTGACCAGCCAGCCTTGTTGGTAAGTGTCAGGCCAGTGGGAGACACCTCTCATAAGCAAGGTGGACCATACCTGTGCATGACTCCTGGCCTCCACTTGCATGTGTACACACACACACACACACACACACACACACACACACACACACACACACACGCCAATACCATCATCACCATAACTAACCCCAACTCCCAAACACTAAATACATAGGAAACAACCCAAAAGTTCTATCCGGATACAGTGTCTCCCTGATGCATCTCTATGCTACCTGTGCCTTACCTACTATATGTAAACTGTGAGCATCTCTCCAAGGTGACTCAAATCTTAAATAGACACGTGGTCATCCTGGACATTGACTGGGTGCACTGTGGTCATGTAATCTGTGCACACACAGGTAGCGGGGCACTCAGTATTTCCATCTCCTTACACATGCCTGTGTTGGAAATCGTCACTCTCCGTCTAGTTCTTCCTAGTCATCTCTCTATTTGTAATGATGTGCACGCACTTAGATGTCCACGTGCGCGTGAGTGCAGCTGCCTGCGGGAGACAGAGGCGCTGGATCAGCTCTTAAGCTGGAGTCAGAGGTGTCCGTGAGCTACTGGATGTGGGTGCTGGGAGCCAAGCTTGGGTCTTCAGCGGAAGCAGGAAGTGCTCTTAACCACTGAGCAGTCTTTCTAGCCCCTCCTGTTTCTTTATGAGATGGCCTCGTGTTTAATATCTACCAACCATACGCTATGGAAGACCCTGCCGAAGGACGGGTGGTTGGCTGCCCCTTCCCTTCATCTCCCCTTCCCTGATAAATGTTGCGCCTCCTGGAATATCCCTCCGCAAGAGTCTTCACAGTAGACCACGGCCAGCTTCTGAACCCCTTACCACACTGCTGCCCAGGCAGGTTTTGAACAGATTGCAAGATCGATTTTCTCTCTCATGGATTACTGTTTCCCCATACACCCTCCCTCTCACTCTCCCTCCCCACGAATCCCCCTTCTGCTTTCATGACACGTATTCTGTCATCCTGTTCCCCCTCCCTTCAAACAGCTTCCCCCAGGCCTAGTCCCTTCTCTACTCTAGTGCTCTACAGATGGACAGACAGACGGACAGACAGATGGACAGACAGACGGACAAGCATACATACAGACTTGTTCACATATAGACAGACAGACAGACAGGCGTTCTACATAAGAACAAAACTGTGGTAGTTGTCCAAGTTTGGCTTATTTTGCTTAACAATGATTCCAGTTCCGCCCATCTTTTTTTTTTTTTTTTGTGGATGTCGTAATTTCACCGTGTTTTCATGACAAATAAAGTTACATTGTTTGTATGTATTACATTTTCCTCATCCATTCATTTGTTGATGAGTATCTAGGCTGGGCCTATGTCTCCACAATTGGGGATCGTATACTAGTATGACTGGGCGTGTTCCTGTGGTGTGCTGCTTTGGACTCCTTTGGGTGGAACGGCTGGATTGTGCCGTAGACCTGAGCATCCGTGTTGATGTCCATACTGGGGATCATCTTGCATCCCCACCAGCAGAGCACCTGGGTTCCTCCTTGTCCAGCTCCTCTCCAGCATTCATTACAATATCCTCTCACTTCCCGTCTTTTTCTTTGTTCCTCGCCCTCCTATAACAGCCACTGTGACTGATTGAGAGATAGTCTCAAAGTGGTTTTAATTGGAGTTGTCCTGATGGCTTAGGATGTTGAACATTTTCACAAATGTTTACTGTCCATCTGTATTTCTTCCTTGACTACTCAGTTCATTAGCCTGCTTATTAATTGGATGATTTGGGGAGGGAGTATTTAATGTTTGCAATTTTTAGAGCCTAAATATATTAATTTCTTGTCAGATATATAGTTTGTAAAATTTCTCCCAAAAGTGTAGGTGAGTGATGTTCTGTTGCTGTAGTAAACACTATGTTGAAAGCTGCCTGGAGGCGAGGGTTTATTTTGCCTTACAGCTTCCAGTCCATCACAGAGGGAAGTCAGGCCAGTGGGAGCTCTAGGGAGGAACCTGGTTGCAGGAACTGAAGCAGAGACCACAGAGAAATCCTACTCCCCTGGCCTGCTCAGCCTACTTCTTATAGAACCCAGGACCTTCTGCCCAGGGTTGGCACCACCACAGTGGCCCGGGCCCTCCCGCATTGATTATTAATCAAGAAAAGGCCTCACAGACTTGCCTATGTAATGAAGGCATTCTCTCAGTCAAGGTCCCTCTTCCCTGGTGACTCTGGCTTGTGTCAAGTTGGGAAAACAGAAAAAGAAACAGTCATCACACTGTCTCTTTGCTTTGATGGTCTCCTTTGTTGTGCAGAAGATTTTTAATTTCATGCAGTCCCATTTGTCAGCTCTTGGGGTTATTTCCTGTGCCATCAGAGTCCTTTCCAGAAAGTCCTTGCTGGCATCTGTTTTGAAGGGCGTCCCCTGAGTTTTCCTTTGGGAGTTTCATTGATGGGATCACTCTGAACCTGCAGGTCATCTCCCAATACTGCCTTCCCAACCTGTCTTCCAATGCTTTCGAGTCACAGGTTAGATTTATTTTTTATCTTTTAAAACCCACCTGAGTAGGTTCCTGCCCTGACTTCTGCGCTGTAACATAATTCATTGTATTTTGAAGAGCTGCTGATTTCTATGCTGGCTTTGTACCCTGCCACTTTTATAAAAGCCAGACTCTTCCCTCTTGTGTCAATGCAGAGTCCTAAAAGCGACGAGGAAGTCAGAAAGGTCAGGGGATGATGACTCAGACTCGTGAAGAGCCAGGAGAGCGGAGGCGGGGAGATCCAGGAGCTGCCGTGGAGACAGATCGCGGTGACAAAACGGGCCTCGAGTGTGTGTACAGACACAGGTGGGTGACGGGGATGCTGTCGAGTCAGGTGACCAGAGTGATACACAGGAGAGAAGGGCCAGGAGAAGGGGCAGAAAATGCATGCACGGGTTTGGACCGTCAGGGAAGACCGAGATAGGCATGGCTGTGGCTGAGCTGCAGGCCTGAGCTGACCATTGGGAACAGTGGCTGGAGGTAATCACAGGGCAGACAGCTGGGAAGCAGCGTGTGCTGACGTGACGTGTGCACACTCTACTCCCACCCCACCCCTGCACACACACACACACACACAGGTGCACACACACATACACAGGTGCACACACAGGTACACACACACATACACAGGTGCACACACACAGGTGCACACACAGGTGCATACACACAGTTGTACACACACATACACAGGTGCACACACACAGGTGCACACACAGGTGCATACACACAGGTGCACACACACATACACAGGTGCACACACACAGGTGCACACACAGGTGCATACACACAGTTGTACACACACATACACAGGTGCACACACACAGGTGCACACACAGGTGCATACACACAGGTGCACACACACATACACAGGTGCACACACAGGTGCACACACACATACACAGGTGCACACACACAGGCGTACACACAGGTGCATACACACAGGTGCACACACAGGCACACACACACACAGGTGCACCTACACAGGCGCGTGCACGCACGTGCGCGCACACACCCCCCCCACACACACAGGTGCACACACACATACACAGGTGCACACACAGGTACACACACACATACACAGGTGCACACACACAGGTGCACACACAGGTGCATACACACAGGTGCACACACACATACACAGGTGCACACACAGGTGCACACATACATACACAGGTGCACACACACAGGTGCACACACAGGTGCATACACACAGGTGCACACACACAGGTGCACACACAGGCACACACACACACAGGTGCACCTACACAGGCGCGTACACGCACGCGCGCACACACCCACCCACCCACACACACACACACACACCCTGGGAAGCAGTGTGTGCTCCTGTGGCAGCAACCCCACCTTCAGGTTCCCACAGCCCATCCAGGTCCTCACCTGAGTCTCTCTTGACCTCTTCTCTGTGACTGTGTGCTGCGTGTTTGCGGCCGTGTGTGCCTGACTGGCTAGTGTCTGCTGGGGGACACACGGAGGAGCTAAAAAGGGAGGTTGGATGCGCGGGATGTCAGACATGGAAAGGTTTCACTCGAGGCGTCGGCTTTGACAAGGACGAAGGAGACTGTGTCCAGTGCTTCTGACTCGCCTGCCTTGCTCCTCCCAGCCCGCGGAGATGCTAGAGACGTAAACACTTAACAGCTTCACCAGTCAGGACCCAACTGAGGAGACAGATACACGTGCCTTGCGCGTGGGTCAAGCTGATGGGCTGTGTGTGAGCCAACCCTCTTCATGCATAGACTAAGTCAGGCGATGCTGCACTGTGGTTCCCTTTCTGGCTTTCTAAGGCTAGGGACAGAGTCGCACCCGAAAGGGTTTTGAGGCGGGAGGGCACTGGTGAGTATGCTGGCAGTGAAGAGGACACTGAAGGCCCCACAAAGGGGACATTGCTGCTGAGCCGATGGCGTGCATCTCGCTAGCCATGCCCAGAGCTGCTATGTGGCGGGGCCGGGCAGTCCCACCCTGGGATCCAACGACAAAGGGGACACAGAGGGTTCCATCAACTGCAGTGAGAGCTCCGGGTAGGAGGCTGGCACCGGATAAAAGGCACTGGGGGTGTCGGGAAGGGTGTGGCCCGGCCAGCAGTACAAGGACAAGTAGGACAAAGTGACACATTTGTGTAGTCCCACAGCAGAGGAGCAAAAGCCAGCCCAGTGCCTTGGGATGGAGGGTGGAGCTGGTTCTGCATCTTGGAGGGAGGGGTCCTTGGCAGCTGAACAGTGGAGAACGTGTTTCTAATTATCACATTGGACCTTTGATCTGCTCCAATTATTTGTTTCCTCTGTAAACACACTTGACTCATCGATGCTGGGTTTGGGCAGCTGCTCTGGTTGGCACTGGTTGGCGGTGGGGCCTCCGGTGCTTCCCAAATGGCACACAAGTGCCCAGGCCTCCACACAGCGTGCAGACACGGGCCTCCTGCTGTGTGCTGCAGACAGACAGAATGGCTGGCTGAGGTTGCCTTACTGCTCTGAGTCCCGGTCTTTCCTTTCAGAAAGCTCTGGAAGGAGATGGAAGACAGCGCCGCACATGCTCTCAAGCTAACCTGGACACCCCAGTGGGAGCACCGGCGGGGGTAAAGAGTGGAGACGCCATCATTAAACCCTCAAAGCTGCTGGCTAGTCTCGTGGGATTTATGGACTCAGCCCACACCTGAACTTGTGCATCTAAAATGTAAAACCTCCAGCAACCATGAGATAAAGGCTGTGTGGGTCATCCCTATGACCTGAGAAGGATTTTGGATATATTCTTGCGAATTCTACTTTTTAAAGTAACTTGAAAATTTTGGTCATAGGACAGAGTAGTGAGTTTCACATGTGCCTAGTATGTGCCCTTGCCATTGGTGAGCAGCCCTAGGCCAGGCCTGTACATTTGAGAATTAAAAGCATTTTTATTGAGTTATATTTTACATATTATATAATTCAGTCACTTCAAGTACACAATTCAGTGGTTTTAAAAAGACTTGTTTTCCTTTTTATATTAGAAGATGCTTGACCACATACATGTATGTGCATTACATTTGTACAGGACACATGGGGGCCAGAGGAGGGCGTTATATCCCTTGGAAGTGGAGTTACAGGTGGTTGTGTTACATCATGTAGGTGCTGGGAATTGAACCCGGGTCCTCTGGAAGAGCAGCCAGCATCTTAACTCCTCAGCTATTTCTCCAGTCCCTCGATGAGTTTTTGGAAAGTAAACATACAGCTTGTACAACCATGGTCAGTTCTGGACGGTTTTTGTCATTCTCCTATGTCCCCTACATAGTTGCTGTTAGTCTGTCCCTGCTTCCTACATTCCAGTGACTACTGTTCCACACAGTCTCTGTAGATTTACCTTTTCTGAATACTGATATAAATGGGACCACATGACACTTTAGAGGTCTACCTGCATATCATGTGAGTCTCCTCTTGCTGAGTGATGCTCCGTTGGGTGGATAGACAGATAGACTTGCTGGTTGGTGGAGGTTCAAGGCAGCTCCAGTCAGATCTTTGTGTGGGGAAAGACTTAACATTTCAAATAAAAAGACTTGTCTTGATTCTCAGTTATCCAGAATGTTCTATCAGCTTAAGAAAAGTGTGTGTGTGTGTGTGTGTGTGTGTGTGTGTGTGTGTGTGTGTGCGCTGAGTAGTTGGTGTCATAGAAGAAGACAGAGCCTCAGTCTCCAGAGAAACTCACTTGATTCCAGGGCAGGGTATGGCTGTGAGCCCTGGGTAGGGTATGGCTGCCAAGATGGTGTTAATTGGCAGGTACTTTCCGAATATCAAGTGCCAGACTCCTGTCAGTCTAGATCTGTGTCAACCAGGTTTCACTGTAAGCACACCAATGTAAAGGGGGAATTTGTTGGCTTACATAATGAGATACCTGAGGGCTAGAGCTGCATTCAAGATAGCATCCCCTGTTTCTGGCTTCTTTCTGACTTGTGTATTGTTTCATAGATTCAATTTGGTGTTATTTGACTAGGAATGCCAGTTTTTGAGTTCAAGTTTATTAGACAAATACCCAGTTCTAGTGGCTTCAGAGAAAGTGTTGTCTAGATACAGTTAGGAACTAGAATAACAATGGGGAGGATTGAATTACAAATAAATCAAATTAAAGGTTGGATTCTGGTCCCCAGGAGGCTGCCAAGCTTTGTTACTCAGTGACTAAACCAGTTCCAATTTGTAGGATCCTTAACCACGCTCTTAAATTGGGTGTCTTCTACAGTAGACGGACAGAATCACTGTTGCTGTAGCCGGGAAAACCAAGGCTGAGGTCAAACAAGTCTGCAGGTTACAGGAAGTGCCTGTGGCAGATCGGCCCTTAAATTTAAGGCTTCCTGTTCAGCCATCTTCTTATGTAAATGAGGCACATGTGCATTTGATGAACAGGTGTAAGTTCTTCTCCATACATGGGGCTTCTTTTGGATGGAGGCAAGAAAGCAGGGGTGCAGGAGGGGAAATTTTATATTTCAGTAGGTGGCAGCCTCTCATGCCCCACCCTGTTTTTTACCTCCTTGGGTTTCCCTCGGATATTATTCCAACCTCAGCCTTGGCATATCCAAGATAAATAAAGGATCTCAGTTACCTCTACAGGAAAGGATTGGAGCAGAGACTGGGGTGGCCTGGAGGTCCCAGGAGGAACCCAGTCTCTTTCGCCAAGAAGAAAAGATTTACTCGTTTTTGTATGCACATGGGTATTTTGCCAGGATATATGTCTGGGTACCATATGTGTGGCTGCTGCGCTTGGAGGCCAGAAGGGCGCATCAAATCCTCAAACCTGGGTCCTCTGCAGGAGCTACAAGCGCATCACGTAACCACTGAGCCAGCTCTCCAGCTCTCCCAGTCTCCCTGGCGTGTGTTTGACGCACGGTGATGATGCAGACCCCTGGGGGAATCTCTGGAGCCTTCTTGTCTCTCATCCGAGCTCCTGTGGAGATGGAGCTTGCCAACCGACACTTCTCTTCCTTGGCTGTAGATCTCTGGATGGGGCAAATGTGTGCACTTAGTGTGTCTACAGCACGCGTGGGGGAAACTTTGCGAAGGCCATGTAACAGACGTTAACACTTGATGACCAGGCAATCTCTATAGCGCGTGACTCAACTCTGCCAGTGCTGGGTGCAAGCAGCCACAGACAGCAGGTACAGAGCGAGGGTGTTTGCGCTCTGTCCATACTATATTCAGACTATGTTCAGACTCAGCTCCCCGGGGCTGGGGTTTGATGGCATCGGTCAAGAAGACAAGACAGCTACAATGGGCACAGGATTGCATTGCTAGATGGAAAAGAGGTGTCAGACTCCTTGGGACCCGACAGCAGAACGTGTTCAGCCGAGAGTAGTGGCCTGGTAGGCTGAGAATCTAGTTTCTAAGCATCATACCTTAGAGCTGTAGAAATAAATATGAGCTTGGCCGTGTAAACGACGATGTTGATTGTCCAGCTTTCTCTACAGCCTGCCAAGTGGGTGAGTGACCAAAGGCAAGAAACGCTTTAGGAACACACTCTGCTGATAAACATATCCCTTGTACATATTGCCCTGATTAAAAGCTGTCCAGGCCGCGTGCCTGGACAATTTATGGATCAGGCCAACCCAGACACAGGGCCTTCAGGGAGATGAGGGGCATGTGCCTGGATGACCAGAGCCAGCCAGGTCAGGACAGACACAGATGGGCCAGGAGAGAGTGAGCGTGCACCTGAGAACAGCCTGTAGAATGTGGCAGAGGCCGGAACAGGCAGCGCATCCCGTCACCGCTTGTAGGCTTCATGGAAAAGGTGACGTGTGTCAGGAGAGAGGGTGGGCATGTTCGACGTATGGCCAGCGGTTCCAGAAGCCAGTGGTTTAGTTTGGCTTCGTGGTGTTGAGTAGAGCATAGTTACAAAGACGGCTGTGGCACTGTCTCTCATGGCGCAAGCTCTTCCCTTCAGGGAGAGGCAGAAGAAAGGGCACACCCCTTTGAGTCCGGTGACTAGAGACTGGCGAGTCATCACTGCTGTGCAGGGAGTATGATGTGCAGGACCTTGAGGTGGGGCAGAAGAGGTTATGGCTTCGTACTCCGGAGTGGGGACAAAAGTCCCAGGGAGAAGTGTAGCCGCCCTAAGCCTGTCTGGAGTCTGCCACATCACGAGTGGGGAGTGACCGCTTCAAGGTATGCGGATGGCACACCTGACTTTCCCGCCACGGAGCCACCCCAGCTTCCAAAGTGCCCTGGACAGGCCCCTAATGCGGCAGAGCTGAGCCTTTGAATCGTTGCCTGACGCGCGCGGCCTGCCGCTCTACGGCGGAGGTCAGTGTGTGTGCTCTGCACTCTGAACCTGCATGAACTGTGCAGTGGGCTCCTTGGCTCAGGCCTCACAAGTGACACAGGGACTTTGATCACCTCAGTGTCGATTCTTCTGGTTTCTGTCCCCTCCATCAGCCCAAGAGCTGCATGTGGCCTGGCACTCTTGGCCGCATAAGTCCCACTCAAGAAAGGCTTGCTTATTCACGGACTCGCTTATATCATATATTGAAGAACGTAGAGGGACCGGAGACATGGCTCAGTGGTCAAGAGCACTGGGCACTCTTCCGGGGGAATCAGGCTCGATTCCCAGCCCTCACATGACAGCTAACAACTGTCTGCAACTCCAGTTCCAGGGGACCCAGTGCTCTCTTCTGGCCTCTGCAGGCAGTGGTGGGCATGGACATGTGCACAGTTAACGCTTGCAGGCAAAACACCCAACACATGAAATGTAAATAAATCTTTAAAGCCAAAGACCTTAAAGCAGTTGAACTGCAAACTTTCCTCTCCTTTGGCATAAAAGGCTAGCTAGTCCAATCTTGTCATGTTTCTGGCCCCAAAGACTCCACAACTCTCAGATCCTGACCATTCTTCCTATAGCATCTCCGTGCCCTTCCATCTGTAAGCACTCTCTTTCCCACAGGAAGACTGACTACGTATTGGCACCCTGTCTCAGACTGCTTTCTGGGCTCCGGAATCCACACGCTCTTTCCACGAGGCCACGTTTTGGAGAAACCGATGGCAAGGGAGTTACAGGCAGGCCCCGTGTTTGCCCGGTGCTACAGTCCTTGGGAGCCAGGGACCAGGGAAGGATGTGGCCAGTGACAGACCTCAGAGTCACGAGTGCAATGGAAATTAGACAAGGGACTGGTGCCCCACTTAACTTCCTCTGTCCTGTTATCTCAGGGTCTCCAAGGTGAGGTCAAGGCAGAGTCCTCCCCCGCAGCCGCGATCCCAGGAGCTTTCAGAACATGGTTTCCTCAACTGTGGCAGGAGGTTCTGTCTCCGCGTGCCGTGGAAGCTCTCTCCCCTCACTGGCGATCAACGGCAACACAAGATCTGGGCACCAGTGAACACACACATGCCTCCAATATGAAGCATGACCCCCCTCTCCCCCAGGCCACGCACTTCTGCCCACAGGAAACAGCCAAACACAGGAGCAATGGGTGGCGCTCCAGGGAACACTGCTCCTAGCTTTTGGGGAATCCACTTTCCGTGGAGACAACTGAGTTGTCTGTAAGTTGGTTCACATCCCCAGCCCTTGAAAGTCAGAGCTAGAAGTTTCCTTGGCACAAAAACTAGAATTCTATGTTTAGGATAAACATGCAGACCTCCACCCCCCAGGACTAACCCAGAAAAGCCTCCTTTCTAGAAATGGAGTCCAAGGATTTAGCAGGAACCCACCGTGGTTTCATTTGAATGCCTCCCAGGGAAGCAAGTCATGATGAGGTGTGTACAGAGTGCCCGCTCCTCCCCAGACACAGGGAGAATCAAGAATAAACAGCACACCACCCGCTCCTCCTCTCCCTCTCCGGTTTCCTCTCCCTCGCCATTTGCCCGCCCTCTGTGTTATTTTGCCAGGGCCATCGTGATGAGGCTGCTATGGTCTATGTGTAAATGTCCCTGCGTGATGGCTCCGTTGTGGGGTCCTGCTGACTCTCTAGCCTGTGACACCGTTTCTTAGCCTCTGCTTTGGGTCTGGCGCTCCAATGCACGGCTGATGACTTAGCACCGATCCAACTGCTGTTTTCTCAGTCCTCCTGGGCTCAGATCACTAGTCCAAATCAATCTTGAGTTGTCTCTGTCAGATACCTTGGTTAAAGTGACACAAGCATGGACGTCATAACCGTGCTGCCCACCAAAGTGACTCAAAGGACAGAAACGTGTTGTCCATGGTTCTAGGGGCTGAAGGTCCCTGAACCGCATGGCCGCAAATTCAGTCTCTGGGGCGGGGGCTCTGTGCCTGGCTTCACACTCATCCCCATGACTTTTGGATTCCCATGTTTCCCTGATCCTTTGCCCAGATTTCTTCTTGAAAGAATGTCAGTCAAATTACATCAGGGCCACATATGTAACTTTAAACGATCTCTTCTCTTCAAAGGTTGTATCCCTAAGAATAGTTGCGTGCAAGAGCCAGGACTTTAGTGTGTCAGTTGATAGGTGGGTTGTCTCCATGTGTGTCCCCAGAGCTGTTCTTGTATGATCAAGTCAGACTGAGGTCAGTTTTGGCTTTACCATTTACTAAACTCCTCCCCTTGTATTTAGACTGGACAAAGCAACCCAG